CCACCAGACGGAATGAACTTAACAAAACTGTAGGAAATATAATAGTAGAGACTAGTTTTAATATAAACTACTCGATAGACTTTTTCCCAATAATTGAGTCAATAGTTCCAAGTATTCTTGACAGTCAAGTTGTTATCCTGGGCATAATCTAGTTTTAGCTTCTGAAAAAGAAATCTAGGTTCAAAAAAAAATAGCCAATTTTTGGATTGGAAAAATTGTTGGATCTGAAAGTTGTGGTTTTTCAAAGTGTTGAACTGATGAAGTAAGTATTCTGGAAATATCCTAGGTATATTAAAAGTCTTGAAGTTCTTTGTGGTTGGGAACCAAGACCTCTATTTTAAGCCAAATATCTTAAACATAAACTCTTGACCAAGGTAAAGTGCTAAATCATATGCTTGGCAGGAGCTTAGCATTCATGTTTTAACTACATGCTCTACCATCTTCAGCCAAATGTCAATCATTATTTTCCATTTTCAGCATGTTTGCCACATATTTAAGAGGGAAAGTGAGATGGAGGCGGGGAATGAGTTTCAAATAGTTCTTAGATTTCTTAATGCAGTTTAGATACAGACCAGACATCAACTCCTTTATGTGCTATTGAGGTCTAGTTCTTGAAGAACTCCTCAAACAATGACCTACTTCAGACTGCACATTTGTCTTAATAGACGAGTGGCAACTGGTGGTTTATGTGACAGAGCTAGATGTCTGTGTTTACTGAATACCTGTGTTATTTATTTTTTATTATATAAGGACTTATCCCAAAGTTTAGCAGGCTAAAACAATAAACATTTACTGTCACAGTCCTGTGGGTCAGGAATCTGGGAGCAGCCCAGCTGGGTGCCCCCACCTCAGAGTCACATAAAGTGCAAGCAGTCGACTGAAACGGCTGTCTCATCTGAGGACTTGATGGTGGGAAGATGACCTTCGAAACTTGCAACGTTCGAAACCTAAGATTTACCATTCTTCAGCAAAACCTCCTCGTGCTCACCCCACTACTAACGTCAAGAGGCACGTTCAGCACCAGGTGTCACTGTCACACATGGGCCCACAAGCCAGTGTTGTTACTGAACTGACCCAGCAACCCAGTGTACCTAACCATTGAACCAGGACCTTCTGTGGTCTTTAGCACTGTCTGGGTGTTTTTTTTAAAGTGAGGTTGGACAGAATATGTACTTTTAGTTATAGCATAGATATGAAATTTCTTTATAAATTGTTAAGCCCTATACAAATATGCTCTTGGATTGCTACTGTTTAGAGAAACCAAACTTCCCAATTGTTTGGAAAAGGTGGAATGAGATAAAATACAAACCAACACTATATAACCTACTGTGGAGAGAACAATTTTCCTAGTATTGACAGTCCCAATCACAGTGTTTTTGACTTTTCTAAAGTGTTTGTGTTAAAAATAAAATTAAAAAAAATACTTTTTTAAGTGTTTGTGTTAAATTAGGTAGCATCCCTGTGTTGAATTTGTGGTACTTTTCCATTCCCTGTCTCATGAACAGGTATATCCTGCAACGTGTTCTCTGTGCTCTGCCTTGCTCCTAGATTAGGATCATTCTGTTCTTTCTTAACTCTGCTTTCCTTTTCTCATGATGGTAGTGGGCACTCAGGATTTATTTTGGTGGCAAAGGCAGATGTTTTAGAAAATGGAGCTCTGATTCTCTGTGGGTGACTTCCATAATGTGGGGAGAAATCACTGTGTTGATTGTAAGTGAAGTGAAGTGAAGGTCGGTCAGTGGTGTCCGACTGTTTATGACCCCATGAACTATACAGTCCATGGAATTCTCCAGGCCAGCATACTGGAGTCGGTAGCCTTTCTCTTCTCCAGAGGAGCTTCCCAACCCAGGGATTGAACCCAGTCTCCTGCATTGCAGGCAGATTCTTTACCAGCTGAGCCACCAGGGAAGCCCAGGAATACTGGGGTGGGTCGCCTGTCCCTTCTCCAGGGGATCTTCCTGACGCAGGGATCAAACTGGGGTGTCCTGCACTGCAGGCGGATTCTTTACCAACTGAGCTATGAGAACAGTAAGCAACTGCCAAATGAATCTTTGGAAAGTGCTGTGTAATCTGCTGTCCATCAAGGTTCAAGACCTGTGAAGGGTCTCTGATTAGGAATGCCTATTTACTCAGTTGCCCTGACATTCGGAACATACTTGCTTCTGTCATTGTTATGCTGAAAATGGAAGTGGTAAAAATAAAAACTGGTTTCCCCCCTTTTATAGCCTTATGGGATTATTATTCTGGAGCAGTATTTGAAATAATCATTGACTTCTTTTGTCTCTGTCTAAAATATATTAAACTGATATATTTCATACTGCTGCTAAGTCACTTAAGTCGTGTCCGACTCTTTGCGACCCCATAGACGGCAGCCCATCAGGCTCCCCTGTCCCTGGGATTCTCCAGGCAAGAACACTGGAGTGGGTTGCCATTTCCTTCTCCAATGCATGAAAATGAAAAGTAAAAGTGAAGTCGCTCAGTCATGTCCGACTCTTAGCGACCCCATGGACTGCAGCCCACCAGGCTCCTCTGTCCATGGGATTTTCCAGGCAAGAGTACTGGAGTGGGGTGCCATTGCCTTCTCTGATATTTCATACTAGGTGCCCTAATTAAACCAACAGTGAATTACATGGGTTCTGTCTTAAATTCTCTTTGAACTATCGATGAATTATTTCTCCACCTTTTTTAATACAGTTTTATTTGCTGGGTCTTCGTTGCTGCGCACTGGCCTCTTCTCTAGTTGGGGTGAGCAGGGGCTGCTGTCGAGCTGTGGTGCTCGGGTTCTTGTTGCTTCTCCTCTTGTTGTGGAGCATGGGCTCTAGGGCACATGGGCTTAAGCAGTTGTGTGTGAGCTCAGTAGTTGTGGTTCCCAGGCTGTGGACCACAGGCTCAATAGTTGAGGCGTATGGGCTTAGTTACTCCACAGCATGTTGGATCTTCCCAGACCAGGGACGGAAGTGTCCCACTGCGTTGGCAGGCGGACTCTTTACCACTGAGCCACCAGGGAAGCCCTTATTCTTATTACTCTTCACTATTGTACTTTGTCTTTTAAGATTATATTTTCTAATGTTCATAACAGGTTTGAAAATTGAAAAAACTTCAGTAACTTTTACTGTACCCAGAAGCAGAGAGGAACTTTTTTGTGAATGTTACCAAGACAGAAATAAATGAGAAAATAATGTATTAAAACTTAAAGATGCCCCAGGGAGCGCTGGGTAGAGGACTGAGATTGAAAGGAGACAGGCTTGAAAGGGAAAATTGGCCTAAGCAGGATGATCCATGGGTATTTATGGAGTTCCTGATATTGAGGAAGGTTACAAAATATAAAAACTTTCATCTTGTGTTTCAGGAGTTGAGAATCTAGAAAAATTAATACATATGAAACAGAATAGTTAAGTAGTATTAACACCATGCTCATCATGTACAAGTGCTTAGGGGAGGTACTATAGAGAGTAAAGACTACAGTGTTTCGTTGTGCGTTTTTAAATTTGTATTTATTTATTTTTGGCTGTGCTGGGTCTTCACTGCTGTGCCAGGCTTTCACTAGTTGCAGCGATTGGGGCCGGTGCGAGGGCCTCTCATTGCAGTAGCGTACCTTGCTGCAGAACACGCGCTCTAGGTGCTCGGGCTGCGTAGTTGTGGTGCGAGGGCTTAGTTGGTCCATAGCACGCGGGATCTGCCTGAGCCAGGGGTCATGCCTGTGTCCCCTGCAGTGGCTGGCAGATTCTTAACCACTGGACCACCGGGAAGGTCTTACAACGGTTGTTGAAGAATGGTTAAACTTTAAATAAAGAACTGAAAATAAATACATTCCAGATGATAGCAAGTGTACCAAAATGAATTTGGAAGCCAAAAGAATACTCATGAGTGCAGAGAAACAGGCACTTACATAATACCAGGGGGAATTTAAACTCTTATGGCAGCTTGGCAATAAATCACGAGCCTTAAAAAAACAAGCATTCTTTCCTATATGGCAGTTCTATTTTTAGGAATCATCTTAAGAAAATCATTAGAGAAAATGAACACAAGAAGTTCATCCCACCTTTATAACACAGAAACATTGGAAATACACCAACTGACAGAATGTCTCTATTAATATGGAAGTGAGAAAGAGCAAATGATGGAGCATCATGCTATTACTATAAGAATGGGTGCTTGGGGAATGGGTGTGTGTATATGTGTCTGTATATACATAGGGGAAGTCAGCAAGCTTATATCCACCACATTGTGAATCATTTTTAACTCTGTATAGTTAGACAGCTGATGACCTTACTTTTTTCCTTTTTGCTTTCCAACGTGATCAGTTCAGTCACTCAGTCATTTCCGACTCTGCGACCCCATGAATCACAGCACGCCAGGCCTCCCCATCCATCACCAATTCCATAAACATGTATTATTTTTTGAAATAGGTTTTAAAGAAAAACAGAGCTTAATAAGAATCAGAATAGGGACTTCCCTGGTAGTTCAGTGGCTAAGATTCTGTGCTTCCAGTGGAGGGGGCCCGGGTTCAATCCCTGGTCAAGGAACTAGATCTCACATGCTGCGACTAAGAGTCCACATGCTGAAACTAAAGATCCTGCATGCCACAGCTAAGACCCAGCACAAGCAAAAAAAAAAAAAAAAAATTAAAACAAAAGAAAAAAATCAGAATAAGGGGCAACTGTTTACAGTGTTTATTAAGAATGTATTTTTTCTACCTATTTAAATGTTAGGGAAGCTATGATCTTGGTTAGGTTCTAGAACTTATAGACATTTATCTTGAAAAGGTCCCCTCCCACTCAGCACCCATCCCACTTGCCTAGAAAGGCTAACTAAGCTGAGATGTTTTTTCTTTTAACTCTTAAAGAATTGTACATCAGTATAGGTAACTAGTTACAGACTAGCATTTTCTGTTTATCTGTAGTTGACAACTTTGATTTAGAACATCAGAAGCATCTGGAAGAATCTTTTCATTTCCTTGATCCTTGTATCATTTTATCCTTTCTTTTGCTCCTGTATAGGTTCTGTCATAATGAATGGATCCAGTGTGGCGAATACATCACCCAGTATAAAATCCAAAGAGGACCAGGTGTTAAATGGACATGATGAGAAGGAAAACCCATTTGCAGAGTACATGTGGATGGAGAATGAAGAGGATTTCAACAGACAGGTAAAGAAGTGAAAGGCTAATGATACATGTAGTTCAGCAGCCATATTTTACTATCAGTCTGTCAAAAGAGAAATGTGTCCATTGGCTTTAGAATAACTTAAAAATACGTAGAAGCCTGGTCAGGGCTGACCAAAAAGCAACTTCAGTTGCTAAGAGACCAAACTGAAGGTCCCTTGGAGGACGATATTGAAATTTTTCTATCATGCTAATTAAAAGAGGATCTAATGCCATGGTGTTCTGGTGTAGGCTTCTGGGAAACAGTAGCTGTGTGCAGACAGACCAGCCTGGCATGCCCCAAGTAGGAACTCAGGGACTGGCAGAATGCAAGTCTGAGATAGAGAGTGTATTTGGTGGGGGAAGGCTAGACTGCTTCTACAAAGATCCAGCAGTAATCAGTTGTCTTATATCTCTGTGGTTTTAACAGCCCCAGGTAAGCACTTCAGGTAGACAGGTGACTCTGCAACAACTTGATGCCCTCCATCATATCATGTTTCTCTGCCACTCCCGGGGCATCTGGCAACTGTAGGATAACTGGAAGTCTTGCAACAAGTGACTTTTCCTTTGGATTCAACTATATTAGCTAGTTTGGGTGATTATTTTTGCTTGACCAGCCCTCTGGTGGTGGCATATGAAAATGTGAATCAGTCACCAGGCAGCCTGCAGGAAGGGGATGGCCAAACATGAAGCGGGAGGCCTGTTAAAATCACACTAATCTCCAGAGTGAAGCATACTCTGCAAAGAAGTATAAAATATCCTTGCTATATATTGCTTTAGATTTAAGACACTCTTTTTCAGAAATATGCAAGTTGTTTAAATATTCGTATTATTCTTGTTTTGAAAGAATTTTCTACTGGTATGCCAGAAAGTGTTCTTTATATCTTTCTAAGGTTCTGAAAGTATTTTTCTCCCAAAGGGGCCTTATTACTAGAAATGTGGACCAGAAGCTGGGAGTTGGTTTTGGTTTAATCTCCACTGTCCAGGTAGTAGTCTAGTTACATAGTTCCTGGACCCTTTTCATACTTGTAAAACGGGAAATTTACGAACTGCCTGTCAATAAGATTGAAAAAAAATGTCAAGCTTTAAAATGATTTTCTGTTAAGTGCCATATGAGTGAAAAATATGTGTCACGTATTAGATCTGTGAAGACCTGGAATTTCTGCTATTTTGATTATTTCCTCAGTCTTATTTTTTATGGAATTTGATTGAAAATACTAAAAGTTATATTTTTTTTCTAGCCTTTCATTAGAAGCATCGTAATTCTTTTTTTTTTCTTTATTTTTATTAGTTGGAGGCTAATTACTTTACAATATTGTAGTGGTTTTTGCCACTACATTGACATGAATCAGCCATGGATTTACATGTGTTCCCCATCCCGATCCCCCCTCCTGCCTCCCTCCCCATCTGATTCCTCTGGGTCTTCCCAGTGCACCAGCCCTGAGCACTTGTAATTCTTAGTAGATCTCATACAAGATCATTCTTAGTTGCAAAGTAATAACCTCTGAAAGAAAGAGGTAGAAAAAAAGCTAGAAAGTGTGAGTCCCACTGGGACAGTTAAGTCTGAGCTCTTCCCCTTTGCTTGCCAGGTGGAGGAGGAGTTGCAGGAGCAAGAATTCCTGGACCGCTGCTTTCAGGAGATGTTGGACGAGGAAGACCAAGACTGGTTTATTCCATCTCGAGACCTGCCTCAGGCCATGGGACAGTTGCAACAACAGTTGAATGGACTGTCGGTCAGTGATGGTCATGATTCTGAAGATATTTTGGTAAGAGCATACGTAGTTCCACATGTGACATAGTGAAAAGAATATAGGATTTGGAGTCATAGTCTCTCTTTTTGGCCCAACAACCTCGGGCAAGCTTTGGCGCCCTCTGAATCACTGTTTCTTCACTCATCACTGGGCATTAACAAGGGGGTGCACTGAAGATGCATTGCACCTCTGAAAGCACTGTGGAAGTGTGATTGCTGCGGCATCACAAACTTTCATTTTCTCCAGCGGGATTTTCAAAACAGAATTGGGATTAAGGATAAAAATTTGAACATGGAAGAGGTTTGGTTTCAAATTATCATTTTTTGTTGTCCTTTTCTTTTACTGTCCCTCAAATCTGTATTTATAGTTTTGAATGATTCTCTTATAAAAACTGCTGGTTCATTTTGGAAGGAATATACTTTAACAGACTGTTTTCCACTTATAATTAGAAGACCAGATAAATGAATTCCCTGCCTTCCATGTTTACTTAATGTCAGAATTCCATAAGTGACATTGTTCTTGCACAATTCATGTCTGAATGATTTTGCCTGGCAGTTTGCAGAGGTTTTAGATCAAGATCTGGTTATTCAAAAGAGTAGATTACCAAAGAAAAGATAGACAAAAATAATATAGGGATTGTGGTAACCAGTCTAGTTTGATGGAGTACTTTGATTTTCATTGAGTTAAGGTACTTGTGAACTGAAAAACTATTTTTGAGTCCAAGTTAACAAGCCTCTAGTGAAAGCATCATGAAGGGAACAGGAGTCTAAAGCAGGAAGGAGAAAACGAGGTGAGCAGGGGCTGAGTTCCTCAGGAGCCACTGACAACAGCCCAGTAATAATGGCCTGAGTTGCAAGGGATTCGGTTTCTTCTCTCCTTTGGGCTGAGAGGAAGGTGCTGGTAATAACAGAAGCAAGGAGAAAATGAATTTTAAAGTGCTAAAGTGCAGCTTGCCTTGGGATTTATTATCTCTTGGTTCTTATTTCAGAGCAAAAGTAACCTGAACCCGGATGCCAAGGAATTTATACCAGGAGTGAAGTACTGAGCTGACAGGAAGCTCTGAGGACTCATCTGTCCCCACCTCCGGGGACAGTGCTGCACAGGAAGGCGGAGCTGAAGGGGGGGGATGGGCAGGGGGTGCACATGGGGAAGGGAGCAGTGGTTTAACTTGACACTGTGACTAGAGTAACTGATGTGCTCAGTCTTTCTCTACAAGCCTCTGAGTATTTCTTGTTTGTTCTACTGACTTTCATTTGAAGCAATTTCCTATTATTTTTTTAGCTTTTCGATTTAGGGAAATTGCAATCTTTCCCCATGCCCTCATCAGGAATGTTCTGCTGTGTGTGTTTAAAAGAATAAGCTGACCAAGAAAATCTGGGTGTTTAAAGATGCCCTACCCACCCTGCTGTCTACTTACCAAGGGCAGTGAACACCTGGAACACTACATATTCAGTCTGTTGAGCTGGATGGGAAGAGGGACAGTTGGAAGAAGCAGGTGTTGTAAACCACAGTACACAGCTCCCCGACCCCTGGGGCTTTCCTGCAATGTGCTGGGATTACCACTGGCCTGCTGAGCCAATGTCTCCTTGCCTGAACCCCATTCAAGAAAACACAGGCTTAAAAGTACTGGTTTACCAGTACTTAAGATGGTTGATAAACCAACTTTCATCAACCATCTTTTGATGGTTGATGAAAGTATAGAAGGAGAGGACTGGGATGGTGGTGTCACTTGGGTCATTGATTTACTGTTGACCTACTCTTAAGCTTCTGTTTACAGCTACCATCAGACTCATTATTTACAAGGTAAAAGAGCTCTAGGGTGGATTTGCCACCTCGACTCTCATGGTGTCTAATCCCCTGTCTCCTTTCTGCCCCGAACCCTATTCTGTTTTTAAGAAGAGACTGTTACCAAAGGTGTATGAGAGGCATGCAGTGCTGGCCATCAGCTTCAGTCTGGAGAGATCATCCTTGAATCCTGATAGTTATTGTCTTTAATTTATTTTGACAGTTCTTTTCTGGCCCTGTGAAAACTTCATCTACCTGTATCTTACTTTCCTTAGAAAGGTTTGTGTACTTTTATAAGTCCATGTATTTTTCAGAACGCTAGCAAGAAGCTCTGTTCACAGTTTAACGCGTCTCCCCACCTTACAGAATTATGCAAAAGGACTCCAGAAAAGCCTAGGAGAGTGAGTCCTGCTTGACCCTGTGACTGTGTGATGCACCAGGACAGTTTCAGCAGTTATAAAATTTTGCTGTTCCCACACACCCAGCTTTTTGCATTTTCTAGGTTGAACTTTCTGGGTATATTCTTTTCCTGCCCACAGGTCACAGATGTTTTGGTTGTTGTTGTTGATACTCATAAGGAACTAAGCTGGGCACGAGGAGATGCCTTTGTGTGCTGGAGAGGTTGGTGGCAGAGTCAGGTCTAAAAAAGAGTGTTCTGGTCCTGGCCATTCTCCCAGGATGGGCAAGGACTGGCAGGGGCCTGAGGAGAACAGTGGCCTCTCTGTATGACTGCCACTGTCTTATGTGACAAGCCTGTCAGGAAAAGATCATGGAACTTGAATAAAGTCTGTAAATTCAGTATGTGTTTATGGGACAGAGGTTGGAAGGAAAGGACTAGGGTCTGGAAAACAAGAATTTCTCCTTTTTCTTATGAGGTCCCTTGCTGACTTTTCTGACAGCTGCAGGTTAATGTCAGATTGAAAATATGAGCCTGTATTGCCAGATGGGCTCCTGAATTTGCAAAGCCTCTACCTTGAGAGAATGAAACTCTTTTAACTTGTGATCAGGGAGGGCTACAAATAAAGAAATGTCTTAATTCCAGCTTCAGCTTTCAGCTGGAATGGTTGCCTCTGATAAGGCGAGGACCTTGGAAGTGTAGAAACAGAGGTCTCTTTCTTCCAGGACTGCTGTTCCTCCTTCAGTCTGCATTAACTTGTCCAAGCTCAGAATTCTAAAGGCTGGTGAAAGTGTATTGGGATTGCAGAAGGAGCCATTTTCTAGACCATGGTGTCTCCATCACAAAGAGGACCGCGGATTTTCTTACGTGGCTCCTGGTCTGGGAAGTCCTTCAGAGATCTGCATCGAGCCGTCTCCTCATCCTGACGAAGGTGTGCCCTTCTGACAGCAGGATAGGCTCAGCTGTTAGGTACGGTCCAAGTGGCTTGCTTCCCCTTCTGCTGTAGGGTTTCATCTTGGATGTCAGTGTGGTCTCATAAGGCATATTTGGTCAGGACTAAGAAAGCTTCCTGCCAGATAAGCAGTGACACACTGAGGACTGGCCTTTCCAGTCCTGTTGAGACACAATTTGCTGACCCCAGGATCAGGAAGCGACTAGCAGTGTGACCTCCTTTTTAATGTGTATGTTTATGCTTCTAACGGTTCCTCTTGCATTCTAACTTTTCTCCATCTATTTTATGTTGTGAGGTGGGAGCACAGTTGTCACCCAGACCACAGGTCCAGCTGTAGTCAGTTTGCCAGCTCCTTAGCAGGAAATGCATGTGGGTCTTACTGGGTCTTCAGTGAAGAAAGGCTGGACTCAGACTTTTCCTCTTAGGAGAGGTTATGGATGCAAGCCAGACTAGATACCTTTACCTTTTCAGGATGAGGCTGGTATTATTATAAGTGATGATTCTGATGTTGAGTTTAAGCCACTACTCTTTAAGTTTTTGTTTTGTTTTTATTGGCAACTGGGAGTTTAAGTATAGAAACAGAACATGTATTTTTAACAATTGGTAATTCTGACTGGTCCCAATGTTATTTTATTAGTGATTGATTTTGTGGTTATTGGACTCTTAAACTCCAAAATGAAAAGTATTTTATCTCTTGCTCTTCAAGGAGAAAAAACAAAAGAAATGCCTTTTAGTTTCTCCAGCCCTTTGAACTGCAACAGAGAATTTGATGGATATAGCCTGGGTCTGAGCACCTGCAGCTTTGGGTCTTTGGGCCAGTTTCTGACTGCAGCAGTTGACTTTAGGATATCACATAAGGTCAAACCCAAAAAAATTGTAAGGAAAAGGCTGGACCTTTGCAGCACCTTTAGTTTCCAAAGTCAAAACAGCTGGGGTCTCTTTTATTAAAGTTACAATGCTAATTATGACTTTAAAGTGTTTTTAGAGGTAATCAGCATTTTTCAAATTGTGTATTACTATAATGGCAAAGTTCTGTCTTGCGTTTGGAGATGCTGGGAAGTAAGGTCAGTCAAACACTTTGACCTCAGAGTGTAAATCCATGTATGTCAGGGAGGAAAGTTGTGTGAAGAAGTAACCAAAGGAAACTTCTGCATTAGCGCTGCTGCAGAGCCGGCATGTAAACTCGGGGGCCCAGGACGCCACACTGCCGAGGTGGGCGGGGGCAAGTGTTCTTTGCTGGGGTTCTGGCATCACCTTTAATAGTGTTTGATTTGGATTATGTTGATGTATGAGGTCAACCAGAGACCTGACAGTTTTGACCAAGATTTGGAGAGCAATTGGGAAAGACTGTATATCCCTGGCCACTCTCTTCTGGGGTAGAGGTAGAGCTCATTCATTTGGGAAGAGGGTGGAGAGAGCAGGAGGACTGGCTGAGGTCTGGTGAGCATCAGGAATGTTGGTTTCCTCCTGCCTTTATGTGAACCATGTGGATCGCTTCCCCTCTTCCTGCCCACACAGATGTTGGGTCCTGCTCCCCGTGTGGCACACAGTGTACTTTCTGCGGCCACTGCTCTGCTGCCTTGCAGATTTCATCCACAGGCTTGATTAGTCACAATTTAGTAAGATTTTTTCCCCTCTGTTTTTAATCTTCTATTTCCCCCATCTTGAAGCTGCCACTAGTGATAAAGGACAGAGGAATAGGAGGCTGACCCAGGGACATATTCAGGTTTCCTACACAGCCTCTGTACATGGCTCACTGTGTCCTGAGTTCACACTATTTGTGTGTACATGCTAAGTCACCTCAGTCGTGTCCGACTCTTTGCAGTCCTTATGGACTATAGCTCACCAAGCTCCTCTGTCCGTGATTTACCAGGCAAGAATACTGGAGTGGGTTGCCATGTCCTCCTCCAGGGGATCTTCCCAGCCTAGGATCGGACCCAAGTCTCTTAAGTCTCTTGCATTGGCAGTCAGGTTCTTTACCACACTAGCTCCACCTGGTCTCACTGCCCAGTCCTCCATAGCGATCCACAGCCCAGATTTTGCCGGGGGAGAGGGGGTGTCATACAGTGGGACAGCTACCTACACTGATCTCTACAGGGTGTTACAGGTTCATCACCCTACCCCCAGGGGACAGAAGAGAAATCTACAAAGGAACAGATGCACCATCTTTAAAGAAAAACACTCTTTGTGTTTTGTTATCAGGAGTCTCATTTGTGAGGTCTGCTGAGCTTGCTTTCCCAGCCCTACCTTCTTACTGGCTCCCTTTTAATATTGTAAAATAGTAAGGAAACATTCTAGGCTGTGGAAAATGTTTTCACTCTGTAACTCAACACTAATTAAGAATCTCTCTTGTTGATTGTGGGCCTTCGGAAATGTTTAATGCTTGATAGGTGGTTTCCAAAACAGGGACTTTTTTTTCTAACGCCTTTATTGAGGCATAGTATCATAAAGTTCGCCCATTTCAAGTGTAGAAGCCAGTGATTTTAATAACTTTCCTGAGTGGCACAGACATACAATTCTGTCTCAGAGCCTTTTCATCCCCCTCAATAAGATCCTTCATGTCTGTTTACATGGCACCCATGGTACTTGCCTAGCTCTAGGCAAGCACTAATCTATTACTATAAATTTGCCTTTTCTGGACATAATCTCAGTGGAATCATACAATCTGGTCTCTTATATCTGGCTTACTTCATTTAGTGTATTTTTGAGGTTAATCCATGACATGTAATTTATGACATGTTACTGGTTTGTTCTTTATTGCTAAATAATATTCCATTAATGGATATACCACATTTTGTCAGCAGGGAGTATTACTAAACTTGGATTTCAACCTCTTGGGGTCTAAATGGAACCCTGAGAACATAGGATTCATGGGGGAGCTGCTGTGCCTGTCAAAGGAACTGCTTCTCAGAACCAGCTCTGTCATCAGAAGCTCCACGTGGAGCCTGAACTACTGCAGAAATTTTTATAATTTTGCAACTTATTTTTTGTATGAAAATTTCATGCTGTCTATTGTCAGGCTTCTGAAGCATCTGATAATTAACAAGTTAATGAGCATGTGTTTGAGTGGAAAGAAATGAAACCATCAATACTGTGTTGGATATTTTTTTCTCCTCAGCTAGACAGAGGAATCTCTGAACTTAAACAATGTTATTTCCATTACAAAGCTGAACATGTGTTAGGATCATGCTGCCTTTGTTGGATCAATTTAAGAGGAGGACAGCCAGCAGAAGCGGTCAAGAGGAGAAAGGGAGTGAACTTTGTGGTACATCCCAGCGGGTCTGTGCACGGCCTGTGCATCTGCTGGTGTGGATGGTGAAGTGCTGACAAGGCCAGGGCAGCTCAGCACCTCCAGCAGGCCCAGGCCTGGACTTTGGACCTTTTCCCTATTTCTCAGGTGTTTAAAAGCTGTTTCTGTTCCTTTTTTTCCTATATATACATTACATGGTAGTTGTTAATACTTCTTTGTGGGAGGGGCAGAGCTTTAAAATTGAAGAAAATAATTTTCATAATGGAAAAAAGTTACTTTTTAAAAAATTTGCTATACAAACAAAGTGGCAGCTGTTGAAAATCTCATTAAAATGAGAATAAAATGCATTTGCTGGCAGTGGTACTGTTTTTCCTTAAGTGGGGTCATTATATTAGAGGAGGGTGTGTGTGTGTGTGTGTGTGTGTGATTTTGTCTCAATATGAATCAGTTTTAGTTGCACAATTTTCCACTCTAAAAAGTGTTACAAAGTATTAAGAGCATTGTCTTGGAAGTCAGACCTGAGTGAATCCCATTTCCATCACTTAGTGCCTCTGGCCTGAACCTGTTTATCTGTCAAGGTATAACACCTTCTTTCTGGAGCTATTATGAAAATTTGACCAAATTTAATTTCAAATACAGCCTGGCATATGATCAGCACTTAATACATGGTAGTAATATTGGCAATAATGTGAGTACCTTTGAACAGAGGTGATAACAGGAAATCCTTGAGCTTGAAGGATAGCTGTTATTTTTCCTGTTCCTGGGCAAAACGTACTCCTCTCTAGAAAACAAGTAAAGGGATTCTGTATTTGCCTTTCAACTACTGAACAAGTCTGAGAGCCTGCTAGGTACCTGGCGTTGTTCTAGGCACCAGGGCTGCTGAGGGTAATAAGCAGGCATCATTCCTGCTCTTGTGGAGGTTAGTTTATTACTGTTTACCTGGCTTGAACCTCCCATTGATGCCCTGAGAGGCTTTATTTTATATGGTAGAAAGATCAGGAGTTCAGACCCTAGCTAATGGGTTTTGAGTGCTTTTCTTTGCCTCCTTACAATCAGGTTTCTAAAAATCTGAGCTGACTTGCCTATTTACAGCTTTTTGAGATACTGCAGTTATCTATACAGGGCCTGAATGATTCCCAGCGTTTAAGATGTGTATCATTTAGAACTTTCATTCAAAATTTTCATTAAACTAAGTATAATAAAGTACAGATACTGTAAACAGTACAGTCCATACATTTTCACCAAACTTTGTTAGTATAAGGGTATCATTCATATTTTTAATCTATATTAAAAACCTTCAGAGCACTCATCACAGTTGGCAGACACTTCAGTAACTGTCTGCTGACTGGGTGGCGCAGATGAGACCATGCTGTCCACAAGATAACGCAGGTAGAGTGAGGCAACGCTGGCCTTTTCAAGTGCAGTTTTTGTTCCCAGCTGTCTTGCTTGGCTCTTGAGCTGATGAATACATGCATTCCCAGTGGCTTGGCAGTATGGAACCCCATTCATTTATCCTATCTTATTAGGGAAGGAGATTATAAATTTAAAGGAGAATCTCATTAAAAATCACTTATGAAAAAAAAAAATCACTTATGACCTTCTGTACTGCAACGTCTGTTACAGAGCCTGACAGGAAAATAAGCTAGCCCATCACCTCTCCTTTGGCCAAAGGAAACAGGGACACCTCTGACCTTGTACACTTTACTGTTGCCTTTATTTTTTCAACTAGTATTTAGTGAGCACTCACGAGTTGGCACTGAAGTCAGTCAAGCTGTGCTCCTCGCTGTGATCATAAGACCTCCACTGTTCAACTGAATAGTGGGGTCCTGACAATGGTATGAAGTGATGGCTGTTCCCTGAAGAACATGAATATGTCTTATTTAAATTCTTCACCAATAGTGTAAGATTTTAAATCCAAAATACTGTTAGACCCTGGTCCTGCAGTCATGTGAAGACGTCTCCAAAGTTCATGGCTCATCAGTTGTGTTACTGAGATGGAGTGAAGGCACTTTGCTTGTGTCTCCGACTCCGCACGCTTGTTGGCAGAGGATGCACTGGAGACTGAGGGAGAGCTGACCCCAGAGGTCTGAACCATACCTAGAGAGCCGACTGTCCCTCCAGAATGGAGTTGGCTTGAGTTCTTACTGTGTTGAGCTAGGCTGATGGGACTGAAGCCACCACAGTTCTGCTCTAGACAGTGAAGTTAACAATGTCATCTGACTTGGGAAATAAGCCTAATAAGAACGCCAAAGTTACTGGGTAGAGCTCCCTCAAGGGCAGATCCGGGACCTCTGCAGCAGAAATTACCCGAAGTATTCAGTAGAAATGAAAACACCATGTCACCTCATCCTTGACCCACTGAATCAGCTTATGAAAGGGGGAAAAATCTAAGTTTATAACAAGCTCATCAATAATTGATGCACAGAAGTTTGAGAACTGATGTCTAGGACATGATCCGTGCCTTCTAACAGCTTACAATCTAGACACTCAAGAGAGGCAGCCACTCTAGCTCAAGATTCTGTCTTCAGTCTTCTCCACGCAGCATGGACAGAACAGGAATCTCTGGGCTTGTTTTTATCAATCAAACTGCAGTATCCAGAGGACAGGAAATCATGTCTGCTCCTCAGCAGTTCATTCCCAGTGCCACATGACAAATAGGAAGTGTCATCCTGTAATGGGAGCCAGGCCAGCAGTCACCCTAGCTGCGTCTAGTTGGCCTTCTTGGAGCTCAGCCATTCTCACAACCTCTTCAGAACTCTTTGAAGCAGAAGAACTGCAAACTGTGCTGTTTTCCTATTAAGTACCAAATCCAGCGAGGTAACAAGTATCCCAGATTAGAACTGTCTGCTGTCCCCTAAATCCTACAGGAACTATCAAGAGAGGCTATGATATATCTCAAGTTATTCTTGGTGATGTTCCCCACGGAGAACACTTTGTTCCACTAAACATGGTCAGGAAGGGATTTTTACCCAGTTTGACAGGAGAAAATTGAGATCACAGGTTAACTGGCAGCCACACAGCATATGAGTATCTAGCATGAGGGGCGGGAGCAGCACATAGATGGATTATCTAACCACGTGGTGAGCAGACTGCAGACCACAGGTCAAGCATCTGAGTGGGGGGCTTTACACCCCGAGCTAAAACCACTTCAGAGCCCTCTGGGATACCTGCTGGCAAGTAAGCTGAGGATGTACACAGCAAATGTGCTTGATAACAGTCCAGCTGGGGAGTGGTTAAAGTGCATTTATTTTCTTTTATGTGTTTCTTTTTTACAAAAAAAAAAGGAAAAGGAGAAAAAGCCTCCTGCCTCCGAGCACCCAATGTCCACTGGGCTTGCTTAGAGAGGATAAAGCCAGGGCCGGTGCACTAGGAGAAGGTATAGGAGTAGAAGGCAATGGCATTGGCACTGTAGTCCATGGGGAGGAGGTGCCCGATGTGCCTGGCCCCAAGGCTGGCCGCGCCCAGGGCGGAGGAATGTCGAAGCTTCAACAGGGTGAAGCCTGAGAAGGAGTTCTGAGCCTGGATCTCTCTGCCTTGGGTCAGTGCCAAAAGGAAACCTGGGGAAAAGAATGCAGAGGACAGAGATAAGAGACCAGGAAAAAGGTGGGGACAGAGGGAGGGAGAGAAGAGGCCCAGGCCCGGAAGCCTCCTGTGGGGGAGCCATCTGCCAAACCCCTCACAGATGGTGCAGCCGAGAGTGGGAGCCCAGGGATGGCTGTGGGATCCTGGAGCCCGCGGCCCCCCTGCTGCCTGGGGGTTCCATTGGGTCTTAGAGCTACCGCAATGTCATGAAAACCACAGAGCCACCTACACAAGCTGCGAGGTAGCAGAAGGCACACTTGTGTCCTTCTAGGTAGGATTATGATGACTGGGCTGTCACGACATGCTGGTCAGAAGCTCCGACTTCAAGTTAGATCTGTCTTTAATTTTTAAAAGGCGGGGCTTATTTAGTAAATCCTTTGGAAAAGAACTTTTTTAAGAGTTTAAGGAAGCTGGATGGGACAGTGAAAAAAGGCTCCCCGGAAGCGTGAAGGCTGAGGGTCTTGGCCTGAGACATCAGTAGCCGGTCCAGGCCTCAGGGCCCAGGTCCCAAGTCCTCCCTGAGGCAGGCAGTTTGCCCAGGCCACCCGCCTTCCAGCCCCATCCCTCGCCCTTGCCCATCCCCACAGGGCCCCCAGCCCATGCTCACCTTCCTTCAGCAGCTCCCAGCTCTTCCACACAGAGCCCACGCACAGGATGGGCAGGCCCATCTCCCCCTGGAATAAGACCTGGCGGAAAGCAGAAATGGAAACTGGGGGCGACCAAGCCTCGCTGATGCCAGAGGGGGCAGTTTCTCAGGACCAACCCAACCTACTCTAGACATTCTCCCTCTAGCCAAGAGCCAGAAGGTGGACTCAAGGAAAAAGAAAAAAGGGAGGAAAACAGATTTAAAAAGGCAAAGGAAAGAAGGAAAAGGGACAATGGGTTACAGAGCAACAGAGAGCAAGGAAAGAGAAGGGAGGGGAAGGGACAAAAGCAGGACTGAACCAGGCGCAACAGCACGACACGACAGTCAAACAATCTGTTACATATACAAACACCACGGGACCGGCCTCAAAGCGCAGGCACGGAACCAAGCCCTGTTTTGGTTACAGACTTCCCACAGAATTTTCTTCATACCCTCAGTTACTTTAGAGCTGTATCCAGTTTACACAGAGTTTGAAGGGACAACCTCATCCTAACAGGAAAGAGCCGGATGTGGGTCAGCAGCTTCCCAACCTCCGTTTCCCCCTCAACTCACCGGGTCAATCTCCGGCAACACTGCCACAACGTGTCTGCCCAGCATCTCCCCGGCCTTCCTGAAGATGTAGCGGGAAAGGGGGTCTCCCTGCTGAGCACCTGGGCAGGGAGGAGGAAACAGAGCGGGTGAGTACCGAGGGAGCCGCCGTCTTGTTCTCCTTCTCTGCTGCAGGGCAGGCCTGGAGGAGTACCGTGGCCAGCCGAGGGCTCAGTCAGAGTCGAGGCGCGCCTACTGACGGGTGGGTAAGCCAGCCTCTGGGGGGGCCTCTCGTCCTCACTCCCCCACCCCCACCAGGAACTTCCACCCCAGAACAGTGTCCTGCACAGAGGGGGCTCACTCCAGGCCCTCAAGAGGGAGCCCCCGGTGCCTGGTCCATCTCTACCTTCACTGAGCCATTCAGTCTCTCCCTGAGGGTCTCTCAGCTCCGGGAACTCGAGCGTAGCTGGTACTGCTGCCGGGGCCCGCCACCCGCCTCCAACAGTCTGCTGTTGGTCAGCCCAGTCCCTTCCTGGCTCTGCTCCGAAAGGGCCTCAGGCCAGCAGGATCTAAGGGGGCCCTAAAATGCCCTGTGGCTGCAGGAATCGAAATTAAGGGAGCATGGCCTGTACAGTGGAGAAAAAGCAATGTGCAGACACACGAGACCTCGCTCAACTTCTCCTGATATTTAAGCAAATGTGCCTAACCTCTCTGTGATCCCCTAGTCCTCTGGGTATCACCAGTTAAAGAAGAAAGTTATAGATTTGCCCAAAGGATAACTGCTTCATGAATGTCTCAGATATAGACATACAGCCTGCACGAGCCAGCTGTCAAGAAGAGAAACAGGCAACATAAAACACCTGTCCACACAGCCTGAGCATCCTTCTGCTTCCACCCTATGGCCTACCAGTACCAAGGCCCATGGTAGCAGAAAACTAAGGTCACTTGGTCAAAGGGAAACTGACGTCCAATCCCCATCTGAATCCTACTCCATCCTCCTATAGGGAGGTCTTTGCAGAACAAAATCAGATAAAACCCTGCCCCATCTCCAGTACCTTCTGCAACTTTCCGGCAAAACCCAGCAAACCTGCATTTATCGAAGTCCCTATACAGGTGGGTGAGGATTCCTAGCCGATCTGGCACCTGGGAGACAGAGAGAAGGCACAAGACAGTCAGCAGAGGCAAAGGGAAATTCCCCGTCTGCCCACCCAGGTGGCCTTCCTGCTGTCCCTGCTGTTAGAAAAGCTGGAGTAACATTTGTTTAAGCTTGAGAGAGTACAAGGATTTAAGATGCGTCGTTTGAGAAAAGTTCTGTTTTCCCCAGCATGGCATCTACTGCTCTTTAGGGGTCGCTGGGACACAACGCAGAGCAGTCTGGTCTCACCAAAGAGTGCTCTGCCGTTTCCTCAGGTGCTAACGACTACTGCTCACCGCACCTCTCCCTTAAATGTCCCAGGATAGATCGAGAAGAAACTGATTTGTTTTCCCCACACGTTTATTTCACCACAGGTCCATCTTCTACCACAACAAACTTACACACCTGTGACGCCTTTGAAGGTCCCAAAGAACAAGGGACTCCCTAGACAACATTACTAAAATGAAGGGGGGGGGGGTGGCGCTAAAATCTGAGCACGTTAAGCATGTCACACACCCTGTCAATTAATCTTTGTAACAACTTAATGACTAAAGGATAAGAGAGAGAGGAGCAGACATATTAGTGGAGTTCAGAACCAATCTGCTGAGTCAGGTGAGATCCCTGCTTGCTCACAGGGCCCTCAGCCAGAGAGATGCCTGTCAAATAAACTGATTTCCCTTCTCTTCTCCCCACGCCCACCTCTGGTGTAGCTAAAGGCAGCTGTTTCCTAACCCACTGCAAATGAGCACAGCCCAGACTAGGACAGTCAATCCCTGCCGCCCTGGGTGGGAGGCTGTACCTTCCCAAGAACTCTCCTTGCCCACCTCTTTAGCTGCTCTCCTCCCTGACCATACAGGCCAGAGGTGGCTCACGGTCCAGCGTACCTGGGCAGACCGAAGCTGCTGCCCCTGGGTCTGTGTGCACTGGCTCCCAATCTCAGCCTGCACCTCTCCTTCTATCCTAAAATGGCATCTGCCTTCACCTCCCCACAGAGTCTAGCTGCCCAAGGATGAAGTCTAGTTTGGCCCCACTCCTCATGCCTGACACTCGGGGAAAGCAGCACCCACCTCATTCTGAATCCTGTCCCCACTGACGACTTCTCCATCCTCCAGCTCTGACCCACAATTCAGCCTGACTTCCCCTGGCCCACCCAGTCCCTCTCCCGTGACCACTCCTGCTCAGTCTCCCGCTGTCCTATCCACACGGGCATGTTTACTGGGTGCAAGTACCTGGAAATAGTTGAACATGGCCTGTTTGACATAGCCAATGTCATGAGGAGCCGCCTCTAGGTTGTCGATGGAGTCAAACACTATTTTCACTGCTTGGTGTGCAATCCAGTAGGCTGCAGAGAGCAGAGAGGACTAAGAAGACGGGGCAATCTCCCCAAATTCACAGGGAAGGAAACTCAGACCTAGACAGGGTTGGGTATTACAGAGAATTAGGTGCCCCGATTCCCAGTCTGGGGTCCTCTAATTAAATTGTACCTGACCCACATAAGAGAAAGCTGGAGGAGGAGACAGAACAAGTGAAGCTGTGTCACTTCCGCTCCCATCCCCATATAAAGGTTGGGTCAGCCAGCTGCCCCTCAAACCACTGTCATCACTGCCAGGAACCAGACCATAACGGCCTTAATGAAAACGTTACACCTGCTACCTATAAAGAAGTGATGGTGGGAGGAGTTTCTATACCCTTTTCCCACTAGCAGACTATCATGCATCTCCTGACATCCATGGCCCTAACCTTCATAGTGTCAGTTCCCTCCAAAGGTCAACAGAGGTAAGCAACAGCTGTGATGCTGAGGCATGAATCTGAGTCCAGGGTGCAAGTTACTGCTGAAGAGCAGGGCCTGCCACTCGCCCAGCAACTGCATCTCTACGATCTCTTAGTCATTACCCTGTGCTCAGATTCAGGCGCTGTCCCCCCAGGAGTCCCCAGGGGTCTTCAGGCTGAGGGGAGAGGAAGATGGAGAGCTGCAGGGAGGGAAGGTCCAGGACCCTGGGACAGGCCCAGTCGGCGTGAGCTCACCTGAGCCCTCATCTCCCATCATGTGGCCCCAGCCGCCACAGCCGCTCTCAGAGCCGTCGGGGTTGATGAGCCTGCAGTTGGAGCCCGTCCCAGAGATGAGCACGATCCCACCTGGAAAGGGCACAGGAGGTTCAGCGTGGCTGAGGCTCTGCACAGAGCTCCCAGCTTCCGACTGACGAGAGAAAGGACAGAGACCAGCCCCAAGCAAAGGGATCACCACCCAGCTTTGTAGAGAAAACCCAGCCCAGCTAGTTTCCTGCCTGAAGGTGGAGGGCCTGGGTCTCAAAAGAACTCCAGTCACATAGAGCCCTTTTCCAAAGAGGAACCCGAGTCTGTGTCTCCTTGCCCAGCCAGCCTTCAAGTGACTACCTGCTTTACCAAGTCCCTGCCGTGTGCCAGGGGCGGTGTGAGACCCTGTTCACACGGTGCTACACATTCAAGACCCTAAACCACCTTAAGAAGACAATTAGCCCCATTCTCCAGATGAGGAAATTGAAATTCAGAGAGTTCTGTAACTTCTCCAAGATGGTACAGCTGGCAAAACAGGCCATCTCATGATGCCATAGCTTTTACATTCCCAACACACAGTTCCTCCCAGTGTCTTTTCAGCACTGGTCGCTGTCCCCAGCCGGCTTCATCACTGCACGGCCCAATCCTCCTCTGCAGTGGACCCTCGTGTTTGACTCCTTTCTCACTTCCTATGAAGACACCCTTCTTGCCCTCCCTCCTCTGCCCAGTCCTTGCTCTACCAAGTTTCTGCTAATGAAAGGAGTGGGGGCCATGGTGGAGGCTGCTCCCCAGACATTTGCAAGTCAAGTTCTGCCAGCTACACCTAAGGGGCTTCCCCAAGAAAACCGGTTCTCAACCTCACCCCTCCCTCCACCTCCTCACCATCCGGCGTAGCTGTGGCGATGGAGCCGGCGGCATCGGTGGTGATTAAGTAGCTTTCACTCAGGTAGGGAAATCGGTCCCTCAGCTCCTCCATCAGCATCCTCACCGCGTCCTCCTGATCCCCACCGCTCAGGGATAGGCCCTAGGCCACGCGGGAGGTGAGCGAGCAAGCAGAGGCCCAGACCCAGCTCCTTTCTCAACCCCCTCCCCTCCTGATGACTGCCCCTGCTTTCTACAGCTGGGCCTTCCCTGTTCATGCAGCCCAGTCCTCCTTCCACCCCACAGAGCCTCAGCAGAAGGCTGAGGCTGCAAGAACCGGGATGGAGCATGGACAAAACAAGGGAGTCAACACTGCCAGGTTTGGAGCTGGGAAGGACACAGTGCCCTTAGAAAAACCAGGCAGAGGAGCAAGCGGAGGAGGAGCTTGGTTTGGAATGCATGGGGTTTGGCCATGCCTGCAGGACATCTCACAAACACGTCCAGGGAGAAGCCAGAGCTACAGTGACCTGCGAGTAAGCTCTGAGCCAGGAATACGAGCTAACATTTAACCAGCGCTCATGCGTCAGGCTCTGTGCGAACCACTTTGGGATGTATCATGTCATTTTACTTTCCCAGCAACTGAGGTAGCTACTGTTATCTGCATTTCCCAAATGAGGAAACTGAGGCTTAGACAAGGTAAGTAACGTGCCGAGGGTGACCCAGATGTTGAGTCACAAAGCTGGGATTCAAACCAAGGCCTCAAGGCTCTCCAAAGCCTTCTGCTCTTCCAATCCTGTGGCTTGTAGGTGACAATGCAGCCACAAGAATGTATGTCTTTCCCTCTGCAGTCACCAGGCTCCTCCAGTTCAAACTCACCGTCTCAGCATTGCTGTGACCTAATTCCCAAGCGCTACCCAGACTCACCAAGCTTCGGAGAGGAACCCGAGGATCCACCCCTGCTTTCCGTTTGGCCCTGTTCACCATCTCGTTGATCCTCTCCACGCACTTGTCTGTCCCGATCAGCTGGCCCCAATCAAGGGAAGGAGTAGTTACAAAGGCGTGCATGACCTGTGTTGCCCCACAGGCTGCTAAGTGAGCCCCCAGCCACCACCTTAACAGGAGTTACAGAGGATAAAACCACAATCAAGCCTACTCGTCCCCTCAGTGTGGCCTTTACCCAGTGGTTTGTGCTGAGTCCATCCGCTTCTGCCAGGATCTGCCCATCCTCTGAGAGTAAAAGGACCTTGGATCGTGTGCCTCCCCTACAGAACACAAGGGGGCACTCAGTCTTAACTCAAAAACCTGCAGATACAGCTAAATCTGTGCAGTCCTTGTCACAGGCAGAGCCCAGTGTGAGGGAGATCGCTTCAGCAAACCCAGTTACCACTCCCAAACCTTCCTCTGTGGCTGGGTGATTGCTATGCTCTTGGACTTCTGAAATGCAGTTCCCGTTCAGCTTCCTTAGGGGGCATCCTACTTATCCTCCAAGACCCTTTGCCCTTGAAACCTCTGATGTGTGGCCAGCCACCACAGCGCCATTAGTTCAGCTGTGTCACTGTTCCCCACCCCACTCACCCCGGACTCCACAGTATTAAAAGTGTGTTAAGCTGTTTTCCTGTCTGCCTCTCACTAGACTCCAAGTTCCATGGGGTCAAGCTCTGGATCATTTATTTACCCTCACACCTGGCACAGGTAAATAAAAGGAACTGAGTATCTCTCTACTTCTCTCACAATAGCTACAGGTTGCCTTTAGCAGCTTCAGCTGCCAAGGTCTTTAAGACACTCTTGTGAGAGACACTGACCAGATGGGAGGGAGAGTTAATACCTGCTTAAGCAACTAAATGGTCAAATGCTGGGACATGGTAGTTTGGAGGGAGGTCTGTGGTGGTGTGATGTATGTTTCTTTATTGATCAGTACTTTCAGGACTATCAGAAGAGGACACTGAAGACCTGCTGATCAAACTCAAAGATGACAACAAGTTTCAAGGGGTAGTTAATGTATGAGGTGGCACATTGTCCCCAAAGAACTTAACAAACTGGAAAAAAAGTTTATATGTTACACATGAATATGACCAGGATGAACACAAACTTCTGTACTTAGTTTAAAAAACTGCAATAGATACAGGGCAGGAGAGATCGATCATAACCATGCATGTGAAAGAAAAGACTCTGGGGTCCATGCATGTGTCTGCAGTGAGATGTGACTGCTGTAGTCGTCGTCCAAGCTCAGATTAAAAAATGCTCTAGCTCAGACAAAAGCCACTCTCTACTCTGATCTGACACACCCAGATTCATAGAATGTTGTCACTGGCAGGGAACTTTGGCGATCATTCTGTTCATTGCTCTTCTCACTTCACACATGTGGTAACTGAAGCCCAGACAGGGCAAGAGTCTTGCCCATGGTGATACGGAGGAGAAAAGTTATTACAAAAAGTCTGGCAGACAAGCTTCCCAGCAGGAAATATGCAAGAACAAGAGGGCTGGATCTAGGGTGAGGAGCCTTAAGTGCCAATAAGAACAGAGAGGATTAAAAAAAAAAAAAAAATGGAGGGGTTTCAGACATCAGGACAGGCTAGCACTCCCACCACCCCAGCTTTAGGTCGTGTGTCTGTCTGTGTGTGTCTGTCTGTGTGTCCCCGCGCTCAGTCGCTTCTGACTCGTTGCAACCCTAGGGACTGTAGCCCACCAGGCTTCTCTGTCCATGGGATTCTCCAAGCAAGAATACTAGAGTGGACTGCCATTTCCTCCTCCAGGGGATCTTCCCAACTCAGGGATCCAATGCGTCTTCTGCAGCAGCAAGCGGATTCACCACTGCGCCACCTGTGATGTCCCTTAAATCCCAGATACCTTCCGGCAAAGCTCACTGTTCCGGATTCCACCACACTCCCGCTCCCCACCCCCAGTCCAGCAACTTCACACCTGACACCTGTTCTGCAAAACTCTAGGGAGCAGGAATGGGGAAAAAAAAAAAAAGAGCTGCTCCAGCAGAACTCCGATGGAGTGGGTCTTTCGTGGAAGAAAGGGGCGTGTTTCCGCCACAAAACACAAAGGAGGGACCCCGGGCTGTTGCCGTGGCAAACAGTGCCTGCAAAGTACACGACCGCGCACCCAAGGTAACCGCTGCGCCTGCACACACTCCTCCTCAAGGCCCCAAAGCCCAGGTGGCCGAACCTTCACTGAGGCGGGAGGTCACCAGCCTGCCGGCCCGGCTACGGCCTTCCTTTCGCCCCCTCTCCTCGTGCCAGAGAGTGGCCCAGGACTCCCCTCCCGGCCTCCCCGCTCCGGACCGCACTCACCCCTCTACGCCCCCGTACAGCGTAACCATGCTGCTGCTACCGCCACCGCGGATCCCGCCGCTCGCTTCCCTCCCGGCTGCGATTCCCTCCCTCCAGTCCGCAGGGCACCGCCCCGCGTCACGTGAACACCGGTGCGGTCCAGCTGACTCCCCATGCGCGTGCGTGGGGCGTGGCGCCGCGGCCCGCCCCCAGCCCCGGAGCGGCGCGTCTGGCTGGTGCGCCCGGCTGGGTAAGTGCAGTCTGCGGCGGCTCCTGCAGGCCTCCTCCCCCCGCCTGGGCCCTGCTTCTGGAGACGGATACGGGATCCCAAGTGGAGGAGCCTGAAAGGGGTGTTCAGGCCAGACCCGTCACTGCCTTGCTCGCCTCTCTCTGCCCGGAAGTTGGTGGCAGCTCCGCCTCGCGCATGCGCAAAGCTCGGGCGCCACGTAGACTGTAGGTGAAACAGACCGTGACGCAGGTCGAGGGCAGAGCCTCGCGATATGGGATCGGGGAATCACTGGAAGTCTTAAAGAATTATTGCACTGGTCAACCCAACACATGCCCGGCGATGGCAGAGTCACACCATGCGCCCATGAGTACCCACGCAGACTTTACACTTCGCTTGTGTGAATATTCGTAACCAAGAGTAACTAGAAGCGGGCTGGAAACCGAGAAACCTCTCCAGGTTGTCCTTGTAAGCCGAGAAGGGAGCGTTCAGTTTTTACTGTCTTACAGAGGAAGTTGGGTTCTTTGTGGAGGCTATTTGGAGGCTGTAGTATGCCAGGCAAACTAGCAGATTTGGTTTGTAAAGTAAAACTTGTATTTTGGGGGGCAAGAAAAATGTAAACTTTCAAGGTTTTATCTGCCCTTTGGCCTCCTCTTCCCCCACCTATTGTGCATTGCGTATCTGCGTTAGGCATGGACCAAGCCTCTGTGAACCTCCCCTTCGGCAGAAATACCTGCTTAATCATAAAGAGCAAAATTCTGGCATCAGTAAGACGACTTCTTAAAGATAACACTCATTCTTGATAGAGGGTCACATGGCACTTAGATATGGATTCTGTAAACTGTCAATAATATTTAATGTACAGCTGTCTTTCAAAAAATTTGTATTACTGTGTTTCGACTTCTAACAGGTGAAAGAGTTCTTGGAGCTTTCTGAGATGCTCTTCCTGAGTTATAATCGGCAAATTTGGCTCGAATAAAATTTTCCATTNAAAAAAAAAAAAAAAAAACCAACCCTAGAAAAGAGGAGTATTTTCACTTGTTACCTATCTGGGACTCTGAAACACTTCAGTTTAACCCCTAAGAGTAATTAAAAGTAGAGCCCTACATCATAGAGAGTATCTGAGAGACGGGTAGGATTTTTTAAGCCCACCTATATCATTTACATCCATAGTACTTCAGACCTGGAAAGTGTTTATCCAAAGCACACATTTTTAGGATAATGAAAGTAAAATATTCTGGTGAGATTAAACTGGCAGGATTTTTGAAGAGGAAACTGTAGATAGATTTTGAAAGAACTGTTCCTTTTCATGCCTTGGTACAGTGAGCCTTCGGATCTATGTATATGATAATATTAAAGTTTCCCTTTGTATTTCTTATTAGAAAAGGAAGCACAAGAAAGGTTTGAAGATAAGAGTTGAGTTCACCATTTGCTAGTGATGACCTTGAGCAAAGTACACAGAATTGCTGATTCTTTTCCTCTATGAAATGGAGATGTTAAACAGCCACCTACTCAGACTTATACGGGATTTATGTATCAAAAGGGTTGTGGAAATCATAAAGTACTGCATAGATCTTAACTAATTTTTATTGGCCTTGCTAATTAGTGTCTGCTGTCCAACAGAGTAGCCACATGTGACTATTAAGCACTTGAAATGTGGCTAGTCCAAATGAGATGCAATGTGAGTGTAAAATATAGGACAGTTAAGATTTAGTACCAAGACAGAATATAGAAGTATCTCCTGTAGTTTTTACACAAGTGACATGTTGATATTATTTGGAGATAGTGAATTAAAATGATATGTTATTAAAATAAATTTTGCCAGTCTGTTTTATCTTTTTAAAATATAGTTAACTAGAAATTTTAAAAATTACATATGTGACTCGCATTTCTACTGCGTGTGCATGAATGTTAAGTTGCTTCAATCATGTCCAACTCTTTGCAACCTGATGAACTGTAGCCCACCAGACTCCTCTGCCCATGGGATTCTCCAGGCAAGAATACTGGAGTGGGTTGTCATGCCCTCCTCCAGGGGACCCAGGGATTGAACCCGCATATCTTACATCTCTTGTGTTGGCAGAAAGATTCTTTACCACTAGCACTGTGCTATTCTATATGTGCTATTCTATATCCTGTCTTCTAGCCACCTGGGCCAGAATATTTCAAAGTTGTTAAGTACCTATTTATGAAGTATGATTGATTTAAAGAAGAAAACTCTGTTGAATAAATGACTATACATTTGTGTTGTACATTAAAGTTCTATAAAGTTATTTTATGTATCTTTATCTCATTTGATCATTCCAACAACCCCATGAAAATATCAGATTTCTAACCACATATTACAAGTGAGGAAACTGTGAAATCAAAGTAATTAGCCTAGGCTCACACAAATAAAAGATGTTGCTTAAAATGGGTGTGGGTAGTTACTGTAATGGGAAGGAAATAAAGATGTTGCAATGCAGACAAGTGTTAACGACTATATAGCTTTGTAAAGGTTTAGTACCCCTTCGTACTGGCCTTGCAATGCCCCAGCAGCTGCTCCTGTGATGCTCACAAGATTGGTAAAGTCCTCTAAGAATCTGCAAGCCAGTTTCATTCTGTCCTCTCTACTTAATCCTCATGACTCCAGGGAGGCCATATTTCCTGAGAAGTGGGGGAGGGGTCAGGTAAAATACTGGAAAAATATCCTCCCTCCCAAATCCACTTATGATTTTGGAGCAGGGAGTTTGATGATCCAAGATACTCAAAAGGGTATGTTGACCTGGTTCATGAAAGCACAACCACATCTGTTTTCACTCAGCACTGTATTTCTTGGGCTAACCTCAGTATCAGTCATATAACAGGAGGTCTATGAATGGTTTTAAGAGTACTTATAAACTATAAAGCACTCTACCACAAATAGGAGAGGTAGTAAATACTACTGTGAACTAAAGACGGAAGCGAGCAGATTCTGCAGCAGAGATGTTTTGCAGAACAAACGGGAGAGGAAGACGTTTGGAGAAAATAGAAGTGAAATTGTGAACTGGGGAAGTGGCTGCTGGACAAGTGGTCAGGGGGCCTCAGAGGGATCGAGCCCTGATGTGTCTTGCATTGGAAAGTTACTACGGCATGTGTGACCTCAGCACTGTGCTTTAGGACAATTAATCTGGCAGGTTTCTTATAGCAGGATAAATGGGAGGGAAGAGCCGGGAGCAGGAAGATACTCAGAAAGCTGGGGCAATAACTCAAGCAAGAGATGAACAAGAAGTGATGAGGAGCAGGGCAGAAGTCATGGGGAGGGATTGTAGTTAGGGTGGGGATCATGCTGACCTTGTCCTTTGTTCTACGATGAGAGCAGACTGGAGTTGGCTTCTTACAGGGGAAGAGAGAGGGGTGAGGGGTTGCCTTACTAAGGGCGGAGGTGGGACTCTGAGGCTGGTAGCTGGAAAGCAAGAGCTCTTCCATACCTGTAGGTCCACCAGGAACAATTCAGAAGGGGTGAGGTTCCAAAGAAGTAAGTGTGGATGATTGTACACAGTCTGCCTTTCAAGCCTCTTCTGCCTTGATCTGACGCGGTTCTGAAAGGGCGGCCTTAGGTCAAGCCAACTACCCCAGAAAATCAGGTTAGTTTACGCCCTCTTCCTAGGCATGAGGGTGTTTATATATGTGTTTATATGCATGTTTTGGCTTGTATTGATCTATACATAGATTTGTATATATTTACATATTTGTATATGTTCTAAGTGACTAGATTCATCTACAAGGGCATATATTTGAGATTGTATCTTTATGCATGTTTCTGTATTAGTGTATGTACAGAATTAGCATTTCAATTCTCAAAGGAACCTAAGCAATCCTGTACATCTAGGTACCTCTGAGTGGGTGCATAGGTATACAAATGTAACTTTGCCCGTTGTGCTGGAGCTGGCCCATACTAGCTCACAAAGAGCTAATTGTGCATATTTTTCTAACTGTTCAGTGATATGGCATTAATAGCTCTAAATTACCATGGTGGGAGTATTTACAGCCCAGAAATCAGCAGCTGGTGCCAGTCACATTGTTGTTATTTGTATTTCCCAGAAAGCTGGCTGTTAGACCTTTAGCAGCACACACTGGATAGATGTTTGCCGTGTGTGAGAGCAACCGTGGTCTCTGGTCTGTGCACACCAGTGTAGGAGGACATACATGAAAGCATGTCCTGCGTAATGGGTCCATTTTTTATAGACTACAGACTCAGGGGTTCAATATGCACCTATTTTCCTACAACTAAGCATAATTTCTGTCTCAACCCTCCATTTTTAATCGAGCCGCTTACAGGAGAAAGTGATTTCAGGTTTCGGTTTAGACTGACTGACCTCTCATCCTTCCTCCTCTTGGTTTCCCACGCTTGTGTCTGAGGGCCAGGGGGCTGTGGGTAAGGGCAGCTCCAGCATCTGCTGAGATCTGAGGTTTTCCCATCAGGGTCTTTGCTCATTTGCATCCAGTCTCCTCACAGCTCCTGAGATTCCCTCGGCCCAGTGTGCTCCCGTTTCCCAGAGCACACTGCCACTTTTGAAACCTATCCTCTTGGCAGGTGTCAGGGCAGGTTGGTTCCCTTCTCCTGGCACCCGGACTCCCCCTACAGTCTGCTGCATACAGGAATCACAGGAGAAGAGCAGCATCGCATCCCCTGACCACAAAGTCCCCGATAAGAAAAATCTTACAGAGGCTGAAACTCCAGAGGTCAGGGGCCAAGATGGGGTTTGAACCAGTTCTCTCTGACTCCAAGCCTTTTTCATTCTGCCAGACGGGCCAAATTCTCCATGGACTAGGAACACTTGGTACATGCTTTCAGTCATGAAGTGAAGTGAAGTGTTAGTCGCTCAGTCGTGTCCAACTGTTTGTGATGCCCTGGATTGTAGCCTGCCAGGCTCCTCTGTCCATGG